CATTCCCAGAGGAGCAGCTTCCTTCCCCCTGCATTCCCAGAGGAGCAGCTTCCTTCCCCCTGCATTCCCAGAGGAGCAGCTTTATCCCCCCTGCATTCCCAGAGGAGCCCAGGCCCATCTCCCCCAGCCCTGGAGCTCCAAGGAAAACTCCCCCCTTGTGCAGATCCTGCTCCAGCAGAAGCACAGCTGGCACTGCAGGAGGGCTGAGCCCCCCTGGGATGGGGCTGAGCCACTCCCTGACCCACAGGGGACAGGGCCTGCTCAGACTCTGGCAGTGTTGTTTTGTATTACTGCATTTTTATTTTTATATTTATTTTTTAATATATTTCTTTCCTAATAAAGAACTGCAATTCCTACTCCCATATCTTTGCCTGAGAGCCCCTTAATTTCAAAATTATAACAATTTAGATGGAAGGGGTTTACATTTTTCATTTCAAGAGAGGCTCCTGCCTTCCTTAACAGACACCTGTCTGTTTAAACCAAGACATGAAGTCACACAAAGCTCTGCCTCGGTGCCACACTCATCTCGGGAACTAGCATTATGAGCAGTCAGATCTGCCTTCCTGTAATCTTGAAAAACTTGGGACTTAATTTTGACTCTTGACACAACCTCAAAACACAACCTGAGCTTGAACCACAAAAAACCCACCAGAAGCTCATGTTGTTTCAACTGAGCTGAGGAACAGCAGTTCATTAGGAATGTGTTTTTTTTCACTTACAAAACCAAAAAGGAACATTTCTGTCCCCATATTAACACACCATGTGGGACAGAGGCTCTTGTAGCTGAGCTCTGCAGGACCTGCCTCACTTCTGCTCTCAAAACAACTTTCTGCAATTGATTTTTCCTACCACACAGTCTCCAAAGCTAAGTGGGAGAAGGTGCAAGAGTGACATTAAGTACTTAGTAGAGGACTCCTGCAAACAAAGCCTGTCTTAAACCAAGCTGGATTTAATACTCAACTGAATTATTCTGGTCAGTTTGATATCTTAGAGCTGCAGCCTTGTGTACTCCCTCTCCCCAGGAGCACCCAACCCACACCCAAGAGTGTCCAACAGACCCTACACTTTGAGTGTCATCAGCAATGACTCAGAGTCTGACGGCTCCTGCTTTGAGAAAGGAATACTGAAGGTTAGTCCAAGAAGTCATTAACAGAGACCATATATAGCTTTTTTTGTTAATAAGCAGTGGAAAGAAAGATCTGATTTGCAATAACATTTATTAATGGATAAATGTACATATTTACAAAGAAAAATCTGAGAAAAAATACAAAACCAAAAAAGTGTTCTAAAAGAGAGCATTTTAGGTAAAAAAGAAACTGTTTCTAGTCCCCACAGGACTAGTCTAACAGGACTGTCTACCATTGCCAAAAGATCCCAAAGGGGCTCAAACCAAGGCCTGTCCTTCCCTCCAACCCCACAAACCACAAAAGATGCAGAGGAATCACCTCTGTCAGGTTCTCCAGTGTCACCCAGTTCTCAAGTGTACTAATAAATACAGACCACAAAGTCTCTGCATGAATCCATAACCCTTTCTTGGGCTGAATTTATCCAGTAAACTTCCTCCCTCATCCTGTAGGTAAGAACAGGCACCATCAACTCATGACAAGGAAAAAAGAAAACCCAGTTAAACCAGTGAAAAAATTCTCAAAGTGACAAATTACTAAGACTGATGTGAAATGAAAGACATTGACCATCATCATTAGGATCTGGACTTGATGATCCTTATGGGTCCCTTCCAACTCAGGGTATTTCATGATTCTATGATAACCTTCCCAGGAGCCAGTGGTACAGCCAAGCCTCATTCCTCCAAACACAAACTACTGCCTTTGGCGCTGAGGAAACCCACCTCTACTGATTATTTCAGGATAGGAGGGAGATATGGAATACCTACTCTTTAGGGTCATCACTAGTTACTGGACAAACCACAAGAGAGGGCATCCAGTCTTGGCTGAAGACCACCCTGACTGAGCTGCCCATGGAGAGTCCTCAGCTTACCTTCCATTACTCTTCGAGTGAGACAGAAGGTGGGAGGAGATGCAGCCAACACCCTAATTTATCTGCTCCCTTTTAGCAGTCAAAAAAAGAAAAAGGGATGTTGTTTCACAGCAATGAAGACCTCAAGTACCATCACACACAGAGCCCCACACCCAGCACAGCCTTGGAGCTGAATCAGAGTTCCAAGCTACTGGCTCTGGCACATCTGCTGCTTCAAAATACGTGTTTCAGCTTTTTCCTAAAGCAAGAAAGCACAAGAAACTCCTGTGTGTTTTAGGTGGTGTCCAAACGAGCTTGAATCTGGGAGTGTGGAGCCAACCATCAATATAACGATGGGAAGCACTGAACCCTCTACAGCTCCCAACGGGATCCTACACACAAGCATCAAAGTGCTAAGTGACCACACCACAAAACACTGAGCAAAACTGCTGGCAGACTTATCCTGCCTATATCACCAGTGTGCCAGTCTCCAGAATGCCATTTTCTGCAGCAGGTCACATTGAAAAACCATGATTTCTCATGCCAGCCTGGATGAGGCTACATGCTGCAGACATTTCCAGCTTCTCTGCAGGAGGGATAACTCAGTTTTCCATTGCTCATAGCCTGGCACTGCACAAGCCAGGCTGAACAGGGTGTGTGAATCTCTGTGTCAATGGGTGCCAGTGTCAGGGCAGGCAGCCAGGAGCTGCTCGTGTCCCCAGCAAGTTTATTTCTGAGGAAAATAGAGTTCATGTACTGGTTCCTTTATAGATCCCCTGAAATCTCAGACTTTAAACAGCACTAGAGCAAATCAGCTCTCCCTGTGCCACAGGGATGACAGCAGGACTCACAAAATCCTCCTCTTGATGCTGCATCCTCTGCTGACATCATGGGAAAAGGGGGAAACCAGAGCACCAAGGTGTCAAAGATATGGAATGTGCACAAACGGGATACAGAATCCTTACGTGGATTGCCATGGACTGTCACTCCCTTTGCATCACAAGCAAACAGGGAAAAAAGCAATGGAGCAACTAGGAAAGGGGCTCTAACCCAGCGGGCACATCCCTGGGGCTTTGGACAGACAAGGTTTCTGTTCTTGCTAAGTTACAGCCTTCCTCTGTCAGGAGGGATCATAGCTACCTGGGGGAATATGGATAACTGGTGACTAAACTGCCAGAGACACAGAAAGCATTTGTTCAATTTCTTTATACTCTGCAGTGATAATTGGTATGTATGTTCAGGAACAAAAATGTTCCTGAGCATTCTCAGAATGTAAAGTTTCCAAGGCTTTTTGCTGATGACAACCAGCCTTATCTCAAGATTAAAAAAGAGAGAAAGAGACCATTTGAATTAAAGCATTACAGAATTGAGTAGAGTAGAGCCCATCTCTTATCCTGCTGGGATGAGACACCCCAAGCACTCTGGCCTAAGGTTGCTCTGGACAAAAAGTTTTAGAATTCAGGTCCTTTGAAAATGGGCGACAGAGCTATAGAAATCATGGCTTTGCCAAAGCCACTAGTGTGGCTTCCAAGTTCTTGTCAGTGGATCAGAAATGCAGTAAACTCAGCCGTGCTCACTGCAGCATGCCAAGCAGTGATCCTGAGCAATGGCTTTGGAAAGGAAGCACCTGTGTGTTCAAACTCCAGGAAATATGGACAGAAAATGACAGAGAGAAACTCCTGTTTCTTCCCTCTTCACGTCAGGTTGAGGAGAACAAACAATCCCTGCTCCTCATCACAACTGTTACTATTTTGGAAAGGAGATGCAGGCAAGGAATGCCAGCTACAAGCATCCCCTGACTTCTTCCACCCTGCATTTTCTGCACAGCACATGGCATCCCAGCATCCTCCATCACCTCTCCACTCCAGGGCCCACCTCCATCTTCCTAAACTCCACACCAGATGTGCTGGAGTCCAAGTGCATTCCAAGGCATGCTCCAAGGATTCAGGGAG